CCGAAGCAGGCCGACGGCACGTGTCACCTAGCCTATTAAAGGCTGAGGCTTTTCCACACGTTGGGGTCGGTCCAGCTCGAAGTGGGGAAGCAGGGTCGGAATGGAACGACGACGTGTCCTGGGGCACCACCCCTTCGTCGTTGCCTAGCTTGATGGCCAATGGCTGGGGCTGAGGAAGCGGTGTAGTGTTCTCCCCAGTCCTTGGCATGGCGGTTTGTGAGGACAGTACTAGAGGTCAGAAGTAACTACCTCGGGGCATGTGGGGCCGGGGTGTTAAAGATGTATTTATCCGACGCGTTCGCCATCAGCATGTGGTTCTGATAGCGGTTGAAGTGCTCCTGTGGGTCGAAGCGGCCGTCATAGGGCTTGATGGCGTTTCCCCTGTACTTCTCGGGGATAGGAGCCGAGAGTACCCTTGTAGTGAAAGGAGTCCTGGTTCGGACCTGGATGATAGGGTCACCTCGTCCCCCGGCCAGCTCCCTCTCCAGGACACTGACCTTATGCATGAGTGCGTGGTAATCGGGATGCCCGGAAGTGTTGGGCGTGGGGATGGTGGCCGATTGTCTGGTCTCCATCTGGGTCAGTCTCTTTTCTAGCTGGGTGATGACCTCGTCCCGAGGGTCTTTGGCGGCCATGGTGGCGCCTTGCTGGTTGCGCACGCGGGCTTCGTGAGCCGTGTTGATTCGATGGCACGCATCGTCCGCGTGCAACTTGCCTTTGCCTTTATCCAAGCGGGGCCGATTCGCTGTTCGGGATACAGACCCCAAGCTTTCCCTCGGTGAGCCAGGATCACGTTCACCAATCTGTCCCGCCATCCTCTCCGAAGCAGGCCGACGACACGTGTCACCTAGCCTATTAAAGGCTGAGGCTTTTCCACACGTTGGGGTCGGTCCAGCTCGAAGTGGGGAAACAGGGTGGGAATGGAACGACGACGTGTCCTGGGGCACCACCCCTTCGTCGTAGCCTAGCTTGATGGCCAATGGCTGGGGCTGAGGAGGCGGTGTAGTGTTCTCCCCAGTCCTTGGCATGAGTGCACTAAGGATGGTGGGGTTCTGGGCCAGACTGGCGATGATGGCCGAGAGTGCGGCTTGGAGCTGAGGGTCAACGGCGGGAGAAGCCGGTTGCCCCGAGGCATTGTCGCCCTTCTCCAGGCGCTTCTTCTCAAGGCCGATGCGGGCGTCAGGGGTGTCGTCGTTGAGCTGGTGGCGCAGATCATTCGTGAGGTCGATGGCCTCCTGGAAAACAACTTCGCCTGCGGCCTTGTCGGCCGTAGCGTCCTCCTCGTGTTCCCTGTTCTCTTGGGCCTCAGGGATGGCCTTGTCGAGGAGGTTACGGTTTGATTTAGTTCTTCCCATGATCAGCTAGCTGTGCTTGGTAGCGACGAAGGATGTTAACTTGATTGTTCTAGCTCTCAACGAGAGCACCAAATGATAGAGTATTAACTCCTAGAGAGAAGTGAGAGCTGGAGAGAGAAGTGCATTAAATTCTTGCTATTAATGTATTGTGAACCCCCTACAACTACTCCCAAGGGGGGTATTTATAGAGGGAATTAGGGTTGGGCTCCCAAGTCTTGGACTTGGGAGGCCTGTTTACAATTGGGCCACTATTGGGCTGAGTACAAAATATGTAGAAGTAATTAAGTTTGAAGTCCGGTTCTGGGAGCTCTCTGTGGCCGACGAGGGTCTGGCCGACGGAGCCATGGTCGACGGGGACACTCGGTTCTCTTGGCTTCTGGACCATGTTCTGAGTTGATATCTTTCTGGCCGATGGAGGGCTATCTGGCCGACGGAGGTCTCACTGGGCGACAGCTGTGCCTCTTATTCTTCTGAGTATGTGGGTCCTGGGGTCTAGACCCATATACTCCATCACTTCCTTTACAAGAGCTCCCTTTGGGAACACAAATAGAGATACAACGGGTTGGGCCGCTAATATGGACCCGATAAGCCCAACTACATAAAAGTCTAATCTAGTAGATACAAATGATATATAAACTATGCAACAATATAAATGATATCTGGTAGGCGTGTGTGGGCCGTTTTCCAGGCCCAATAGTCGTGAGACTCGGGTGTCCGAGACTATATACTCTATCAGGAGTCCCCCACTCCCTGAGTTGAGACTACTCGAGGCGAAAGGGAGTAGAACTGTGTGTTGATCTGTCGTCGTCTGGTGAGTAAACTTCTGACGTCGTTGAGGCGCCTCGTCTAGATTCCCACGCCGTTGATCCGATCTCATCGGCGAGTCCTGACTGACGCAACCTTATGGGAGAATCCCCATCCGAAGGTCGCTGGCAAGAGACCGTCACCACTGGTCCTGGGCCGAGGGACTATGTGTCTGTACTTGCTGTTGTAGCAACTGAATCTGTGTTTGTTGTGATGATGTTGTCAAGGTATGTGGCAAAACTTGTGAAATTTTTTGAATTTGTGCTTCTCCGATTCACAGAGACGTTAAGTCCCCCGCTCTTCCAGTCCCCCACTCCTTGAGCAGAATGTAGTGATGTGAAGAGGAGTAGAATAGTGCATGTCTCGTGATGTCTTCAATAGGGGCCGAGGGCCGACACTTTTTTCCCACGTTGGGGAAATGCCTCGTTAAAAACCTCACTAGGAAAAACCCTGTGGGAAAAAAATCCTAATGAGGCAAAAAGAGTGCATCGGATGCCCCCAAAATGAAGCAAAAGGGGTGAGAAACAAACAGATATGAGAAATACAGAGAAAGACTATGATACTTGTTTGGATACTTGTTGGTAGTGCGACCAGGATGAGTGGCAAATTGGGAAGAGGACACTCTTATAATCGTGATTGAAGATAACATCTTAGAGTTCTCTTGTAGAACAACGTCCGTGCCAGAAAGAGTTTTGTGAAAAGTCTTTATTCCGACATTATTTTTTCTTTAGCAGTACTTGTTTTTATTTTAGTTTGAGTATGTTTCATTTCAATATTTTCATTTTTGAAGTACTTCAGATAAATATTATTTCGGTTCTGGTTGTTTCAGGCTTAAAATTGCACGTTTCGTGTTTAGCGAGTGAGGTTGCATTGTATCAGGTGATTGACTCTATGTCTATTCTTGGGGCTTACAATTAGATCTGTTGTAACTGTCTGGAGGTTGTCTTGTATGCTTAGTTGTTATTAATATAAAAGCCGTTTTTTTATTTTCAAAAAAAGGAGGACAAAAATGAAAGAACGTGGAACAGCCAAACCAAAATGCTGCATTCATCATCGTTTCAATTTTTAGCTTTTCGAGTTCAAAATGCTAAGCCAACTGACGAGCCATTTTCACAAGTATGCCATCGGATGTCGGGATATGGAAGTCTGAGATATCGCCTCTCATGTAAGCTAACAAATAAGCTAGCCAAATCGATGTATGTTTCATTTAAGAGAAGAACTAAATTGCGATGAAATTAGATAATGATTAAACTAGAAAGGAAGCGTGGCATACAAGGAACAACCTATGATTAAGGGTAAGGGGTCAAAATGAGGATACTTGAAAACATATCATGCAACAAAGGGATAGGTACAAGTTCCCTTGCCACTCTCATGATCAAGGGGGGTACTAAGGGCTCCTATTGCCCACTCTCATGGTCCAATAGCAATCCAAAGTTATGCAAACAAGAGCAACCAACATTTTTTTCCTACCATCTCCCATTCTCATGGAGAGGAGGTAGTGTGTGTGAATGTGTGAAAAAGAACCCTATAAGTCTCTTTGAGCTTCCAAAACAACATTTAAGAACATTGTGACCATCAAAGTCTTAGTATGTAATACAAAGAGACGTTTTCACAAACACATAGTGTACATAACATATTTTTCTCAAATTCCTCCAAATCAAACCCTAAATCCTATAATCTCACATGGTTGGATGATCCTCAACCACCCCCAATCCCTAATTTCACTACTCAGTCATGCTAGATTTCATATCCATAAAGTATATGCGAGACATGAGCAAGAAGAGAGACAAAAGGATAAGTTGGTAGAAATTATGACAGCAATGTAAAATGGATTAAATGAAACTAGATTTAGGATTTGGTGCAAATATTAAGAAATGAAGTGCAAAAGAGTTCAAGGAAGCTTACAACCAAAACTAGGGTTTGCAAGAAGAAAATCAGTCCAAAAAATATGAAATTCAGAACAAAGGAGGGTATTTATACAAGGGAAAACAGGAGAACGCTGGGAAGGAACGTCTTCCCTTTTGGAGGAATGTTGACAGGAACACTGGCACGAACCGCGTTCCTCCCGGTGTCCCTCCATAACACAAAATTTTTGGTTCCCTACAAAGAGTTCAACAGTGGAAGGAACGTTGGTAGGAATGTCGGTACTTGTCAACGTTTCTACCCTTGAGACTGTGAAATAGAAAATCGATGGAACGAATAGGAGGAATGCCAGGAGGGACGCCGTTCCCTATAGCATTCCTATGTCTTATGTCACAAAAACACATATGTCGTCTTCGTTTCTTGCTTATTTGTGCACCGTTTCATCCCGAGATCTTCAAATCATTCATTTATGCTCCCAAGGCTCTTCAAAATGCTCGGTTTTCACTCTTACAATACTCAAATCTTCTATGTAGTTCCTACAACCAAAATATTGCAAAGTAAAACTGGAAAATCATCAAAATTTGACAAACAAAGATCGAAATTTCTGACAAAATATTTGGTGCTTTCACACGTATCACCAATCAACCATTTCCAAACAATAGTTTTAGCTGTTCAGTGAGTCAAATTCATTAGATGTAGTCAAACAGGCCAAAAATGGCAGATTAGCCATTTGCCAAAGCTATTATCTGTAAAAGAAATAAGGGGGGCAACGTTTTAAGACCGCAACACTACAGCAGTGAATCTATTAGCTAGTTTTATTAATTGATTTATTATTATGCCTTTCAGAAAGAGTTGAAATATTTATTTGCCAGGAATGTGACAGATGGGGCCAATTTGAAAACCTCTTTCGGATTACATCGTTGGAGTTTCTATAAAGTAGTTGGCAATTGTTTCCTCAAAATTCATCACATCTTCAAATATGACAACAATTATGAGCTGTCAGTATTGGAGGATATTTTAATCCGCTACTATATCTATATATCCGTTGCCCCCTCCCCCGCCGTATAGCGCCACTGCACTGCTACGGTGGCAGTTTCCTTCTACGGCACTACTCATCTGAAAATCACTCACACGGCGGCTCATAACCGCCTGTCTTGTAATATACAAGTGTAACTATCTATACATTATTCATATATACGTGCAATTGTTGAGTGGAAAGGTGTCGCAGGGTCGCAGGAGATGGCGTCAGCGTGCGTGAACAAGATCAGGATGTCGCCGGAGAATTTTCTACTCTGTCCTCTCTCCACCAAGTGCAACGCATATGGCCGCTTGCGGAGTCCGCGGACATCGTTCAGCAGAGAGATCGGCGATGATGATTCGCGGTCTCTCACAAAGGCCAGCTCCAGAGCTAATAGTCATTCATCAGCACCACCTCCAGCGGGAAGCTGCGGTGATTATAATAGTACTGAGGGATCAGATCTGGATGTTCTCTGCGGCAATGATATGGCGGAATTTGAGTTCAGGATCGATGGTCATCCTCAGGTTATGCTTCCCGCGGATGAGCTCTTCTCCGGTGGAAAGCTGGTACAGCTTCAAACACCTACGAACTGTCAGGGAAATGTCGCGTCCGCGCGTGAGCCGCCGTCTGCGAAAGTGGTTGGATCGCCGCCGTCTGCGAAAGTGGTTGGATCGCCGCCGGATACTCCGAAAAGGAAGACGAAAAACGGTAATTCCAGTTTCTCGAAGTCGCCGAGGCGTTGTTCAACGGCATCATCAGGTAAGTGGAAGGAGCTTTTAGGCTTTAAGAAGATCTACCAGCACGAAATCGGCAATGTCAAGGGCAAGGACGATTGTATGAAAACGACGACGTCTTCCTCGCTGTCTTCTCCCTCAACAAGCAATAACGGCATTCATAAATCTATGAAAAATTTCATTCGGCGCAGTTCATCAAAATCTCTGAACTCATTATTATCATCAATGAATAAAGGCGATGGTGATAATAAGTCGCTCCGCCTTCCTTTGCTGAAGGGTTCCAATAATGACAATTGCGGCGGCGTATCGATATCATGTCACCGCCTCTCCCTCTCCTCCTCGTCCTCCCCTTCTCCTCGGCAAAGAACCGAAGGCCTCCCTCGCCGCCTCTCTCTCGACTCACAAAAGCCGGCCAGTCTCTCCCGCAAGACTGCCCAAACAAGCAGTAACCGTCGTAAGACCCGATTCGTCGTGCGCCGGGGATTATCTGCGAAGAATGTTCCCTCCACCGCCGGTGTTGCGGCGAGAGTAGGGCGGAGAGCGCCAGGTATCGCCGCAGCGATTGGCGGATTCTCGCCGGATAGTCCACGGATGAACTCTTCGGGGAAGGTTATCTTCCACGGGTTGGAGAGAAGCTCAAGTAGTCCGGCTGCAGGGACTTGCATTGGTGAGGCCAGATACAAGAGCAGGGGAATGGCACGGTCTTATTCAGGAAATGTCCGGGTCACTCCGATTATCAACGTCCCGGTTTGTTCATCACTGAGAGGCTCATCTAAGGCTGGGGCTTTCGGGTTCCCCATATTTTGTTCTTCGCCCAAGAAAGAGGCCACCGCTGCAGGCTCTAATGGCGGAAATGGAATCGGGAATCATAAGAGTCTGTTGCTAGTGTAAATTTTTGTAACTAGTATATACTCCGTAAATGATAAATTTACTCGCAAGTTAAATTCACATTAAGCACTTCAACCAACTCTTAAATCGATCATAACATAATACTAGCTCCCTAATTCAGATTGCTTACCGCCACTCTCATTTTGACATTGACTATGGTACTTCTCACAACCTCACTAAATTCCATCAATGCCTAACTCTACATTTCATAAATAAAGTTGTGCTCCAATGCAAAAAATAAAAATAAAGTGAGTCCACTCTCATCCAAGGTGAGACCCAAGGTCCGTATATGGACCCGATGCTAGACCTTATCCCTCTTTTGGGATTGCCGTCTAAGCATGATTAGGTCCATTTTTTTACATTGGAAACTATATTTGTAAACAAAGAGTGTATTGACTTATGTGGAATAACAATTCATCTCACATTGGAGATGCCCTTAGGATCGGACTCAACCCGAATTAGAAAAATCTTTAATAACAGTGCATTGGGCCAGCTTAATTTGAACTCCTGGTTATGTCACTAGTTATGAGAGATAAGGAACACATGCAATAAGTACGAAGATGATAGATCTAATTTTCATCAGTTATGATGGTGCATGATACTCGCCACTCTCTAGAACCACTAATGTTCGTTGGATTCTGATTTGCCCGGTATTCATAGCTTGCTACCTGGATTCCTCATTTGGAGCTAATTATCTCTTTATGTGGTCATTGAAATTGCTTGATTGTCGAGGTATTTATGCTACTAATGCATGTAGGAACAGTTCGAGTACTAGTATATGTCTTCCTTTTCAAAAAGTAAAATATACATCTTTTTTATTTGTTTATCTTGCCATGAGATCGTGTTATATGGGTTAGTAAATTACAATAAATCCACCCATTTCATAACTTTTCCTCAAAGTTATGCGATGGTTCTCCGACTCTAAACTCAAAAAGCTGAATGAACATGCATTTATTGATCTTGTTGAATGGAATCTTTGACTGTGATGTCTTTTGATTTAATTTTTATTACCAATCGATTCCTCCAAAAAGGTTGAATCCTTGATCCCAAAAGCTCTCACACCCAACCCAATGAGACATACGGGAGAATATAAATCACGGTGATTCAATCAACTCAATGGTGATAAATCTTATATAGAAGTTTTAACCTTCATACGATCGTTGCGTGTTTCAAACTTTGATCATCCTCCAATTTTTCAACCATTCAACCAACTGAACTACATGTACAGGTTTTTATAACCCATCAAAACTATAGTTTTTGTTTCCAAACGGCTAAATAGCTTCTCAATCCCAGAGTACAATAATATTTAGATAATGTGTAAAATGTTTAAATTTTATAACAACATTTAAATGATACGAAGTATATTCAAACAAAGAGCCCGTTTGGTAACATCATAATTGGTTGAATTGGCTGATTTTGCTGAAATTTATGAAGTTCTGGTTGAAGTGGCTGTATTGGCTGATTCTGCTGATTCTTGAAAAAATTATATTTAAAATATTTGTTATTAATAAATAAAATAAAAAATTATATGAAGAAATAGCTAAAATGATCTTCTACAGTAACTTCAATCAATACAGCCCGAAAAGTAACTTCAACCTTACTTTTTCAGCTTATTACACAATTAAGCCGCGAGATCAAAAGTTACGTGTTTGGTGAAAAAGCTGGCTGATAAGCCTGATAAGCCGAAAAAAGGGTCACCAAACAGGCTCAAAATGTACATATTAGGAAAATAGTCAAAATACAAATCGAACACATTTGTTTATGTACAGCCTAAATAGGTAGAGGCATTAATTTGTAGAATCAATTAGTACATATCATTTTTAATTAATTTATTACTAAAATTTCAATTATACAGTGACACTTTCCCTACAAAAAACGGCGATTTTGTCACGGATTTTTGTCACGAATTTGGTCTGTGAAGTTTGTCACGGATTTTATCACGGATGTACCTCACATGTCAACAAAAAGCTTTGTCACGGACAAAATCCGTGACAAAAATTTTGTCACTGACGAAATCAGTGACAAAACAGCTCCATGTATATCAAGATTTTTTTGTACCATTCATGTTAAGTGAGAATTTGCGCTTCACTTTAGTACAAAATTATTTGACTTTGCACTTCATTCTTTCACAGTGTTTGGCAGATAGAGTGCACACATTAACGATTTTGAAAATGGGTCGCAGAAGTCAAATTATCCCTTATGTTAATTGTAGTTCTCTTCTAAGGATTCCTAGACCTCGGTAAGAATTGAACCCCACAATACATGTAGTAAATGTATGTTCAAGTAGTTGAGAATTGAGGTAGTTTAGTTTCCCGGAAGCCCCAATCACCCCATGCATCTTCGAGCAGATTGGCTTCAACTCTTCAACCACTTAGCTAGGAGCCTATGAGAATTACTACGCGTGGTCAACCCAAAGTTTTAGAAACCCTTTAAAGTTTAAATTATATGTAAAATAAATCAAAATTGTCCTTGTACTACACATTTCATTCACATTTATACATAATTTTGTAGAAATTGCCCTAAATAAGAGTAAAAACTCTTTGAAATTCCAAAAAGAAGTATCATGTTTTGTATTCCTTGAATATGGGTAATCTGTCAAATTTGGAAAAAATGGGATGTTTAAAAAGCTAGTAATGCCAAACTTGGCAGAAATTTACTCCTATTCAGGGAATAAAAAACATGATACTCATATTTTGAAATTTCAAAGCGTTTTTACTCTTATTTAGGGAATTCTCTCATAATTTTGTGTACACATAGACAATGACGCACGAGCTGCCTGTGTACACTCTCAACTACGAAGTGTACACGTTGTCTGTGTATACAAGACAATAACATAGAATGTGTACGAAATGTGTACAAATAGCTTTTTCCAAAATAAATTGTGTACAACAGGAAGAAGCAAGCACAACAAGTGGGCTGGTTCACTTGGCAAAACACAGGAACACAGCCGGGAAACGGGTTGCTTAGACATGGTCAATCTACGTAGCACCGATACCGGTACGCGGAATCGCGGAAACGCGGACACGGGTACGGGGATACGGCAAAACAAAAAAAGTAGGATACGGATACGGGGCCATATTTATAAATATTAAAAGTTATGGAGGTGTATTTACAAATATTAAAAGTTATAGGGATGTATTTATAAATATTAAAAATAGATTTTTTTGGAAATATATACATATAATATCCTATGAAATATACAAAAAAATAATTTTTTGGATATATATATCCTATATATACATATATACCCATTCATTACATATACATCATAATATTTCTCATATACACTAGTGCATCTCGAAATATAAATGTAGACATGTAGTCGATAAATCATTAATTTAAAATGAGAAATAAGTCAAACAACTACAATCTTGAAATTAAAAGTGCAGGTACCAAAGTTCTAGAATAATTAAGATAGAAAACAATATTTTAAAAACATATACTGCTTAGAAGCTCGTGATATAAGACGAAGATTGTTATGAACAAATACCAAATCCTCCGCTCGCTTTGGAAGCAGTTTGTTTCTTCTAAATGAATTAATAAAAGAATAAGAACTCCAATTCCTTTCTAAGCATGATGATAAAGTAGGTTGTCCTAGTATTTTGAAAGCTAATTTTTGAAGAAAATGTGCATTAGAACCAAAGCATGCCCACCACTTCTTAGGTTCCATGTAATATCTGCTTGCAATAGATTCAGGATCCTCAAATTTTGGGTTTTTTTATTCAAAAAAGTTGATACGGGTATCCGTCAGGATACGAGTATCGGAAACTTTCAAAAAATTACAAAAAAACGGAAACTTTTAAAAATTACAGATACGGCCCGAGAACGTACGGTACGGGTATCCTAGAGTATCGGATACGAGAACGTATCCGATACGCCGATACGCTACCCTAGGGAAGTATCCGTGCTTCATAGGGGCCAATACATCCTCCAGTTTTACTGTTCTATTGGACTATACCAAATCAACACTTTGGCAGTTTGTTACGTCTTTAAGCATTGCATTATTTACAAAATATCAAAATTTTCCTCCCTACACAGTAAAATATCTTAGTTTTAATGTAGAAACAGTGATTAAATAATCTGTACTAAATAATTAAATATTCTCTCCTTCTCATAAAACATTTCCCGCATTAACTTGATTCAGAGTTTAAGAAAGTGAGAATAAAGTGAAAATATATGATTGTGATTGAGTAAGAAAAAGGTAAATAAATGTGAGTCACACAAAACTTTCCAAAAAGGAAAATTGGAACTATTTTTTGAGACGATCCAAAAAGAAAAACGGAAACTATTTCGTGGGATGGAGGGAGTAGTAGTATGTTTGTGGACAAACTCAGCTGCCAGCGCAAGTACCGTGGCTCTACTCTCCGTTGACAAAGCTAGAATGCGAACCAATGCAAATGGCGATCTTTGAATTTCCGTGCTTATCAGCAGACCAATTCTTATCTTCATTACCTAAAAGTGATGGGGATCTTTGATTTTATGCTAAATAAGTATGTTGAGTAACATGAAGTTAAAGACTTTGTTGAACAGTCTTTGCCCCAGATTTCTTTCCCTAAAATTTCAAATAAACCCACAAATAATTGTTGACCAAAATCTTATTTCCAAATAGGGGTTATTCCTTCAATATTATTAAATAAATGGCGATTTCCAAAAATGTGATCACTTTCACATTTTGACAAAATGTGACAAGAATAAAGTGATAGTCAAATATTCATGTCACTATTCCTTTTCATGTCACCTTCAGATGTCATTGTTACCGTCGCTCGTGTCACCACCATCACCGCCCGTGTCACTGTCAACGCCGCCCGTGTCACTGCCTCGCCGCTGCTCAGTGACACCCGACGCCGCCGGCACCGTCAATCACATCCGCCAACCGCTTCATCCAACGCCCAAACCGCCTACTGCCCCTACCCCTCCCCACGCCCTGCCTAGATTTTGACCCGCCCCCTAACCCACCTCATCCCCCTGCCCAGACCCACACCCCCAACCATAGCCTGCTCCCCTGCTCAAGTGCCCTACCCCAGCCCCCTCCCCTTCTCCCCCCACAGCTACCCAGCCCCATCCCCACCCACAGCCTACCCGCTCCAGCGCCACCCAGCCACTGCCTGACCCACCCCAGCGCTGCCATCACCTGACCCGCCACAGCGCCGCCCAGCTCCTCTGCAACTGTCCCTAGCGCTCAGTCGTTTGTCTCCAACCCTAGCTCCTACCTGCAGCCCACCCACAACGTCGTAACCGGTAACCCTAACCCTCAGTGAACCACCTCCGCGTGTTTTCCCTAAATTCACAGACGCAGTGCCCGCTGCCGCCCTCAAATTGAACCGTAACGACCAGATCTAACACTATAGCTTGGTTTCAATGGAGATTATGGCTGCGAGTGGCGGCGTAGATTGAACGGCTAATATAAAGAAGGAGCGGAGGCTTATGGCGTCGAGTGAAGGACATCGATGGCGACAAAGCTTGTTGGACTTCCATCCCTCTCCCCACTAGAAAGAGAAAGAAGAAATAGAAAATCCGCCGGTGTAGAATACGAGAGGGCGACAAGGTTGAAGATGGTGGTGAGCTCGAAGATGGCGGTGAGGTCAGCAACAACTTAACGAGTTCGGCGATGCAGCTGAAGAGATGCGGCAGATTGTCAAGCTTGAAGGCAAGAGAAGCAGTGCGGAAAAGCTAAATGGACAGGACGGTGATTTTTTTAAATTATCACTAAGCTACTAGAATTTTTGTCATTTGCGGCTCCCTATTTGTTGTGGTTATTTGTATTCAGCAGCAATTAATTGGAAAATAACACTCGATTTGTTGCGGGTAAGTAAAAACCGCAGCAATTAGTTGGAAAATAATCCTTTATTTGCTGCTGATACGGAGAAACCGCAGCCAAATGTATTTAAAAATTAATTTTTAGTAGTATTTGCTGCGGGTATACAGAAACTGCAGTAATAAGTTAAAAAAAGCTTCAAACCCTTGACTCGCTTCTTTCAATTCCCGACCAGTTTGAAAAAGAAAAAACGCAGAGCTCCGCAAGCCTTGAAAACGCAGAACGCCACAAGCCTTTGGCGGAACCGCAGAACGCCGCATCCGCAGAACGCCGACCGCAAGCCCTTTGGCGGAACCACAGCAGGCCTTGGCGGAACCGCCGCCTCTTCCACCTGCGAGCCTCCTCCTCCGCCCTCTCAGCATTCTGACGCAGGTCACCGTGCTCAGTCCGCACTCCGACGCACTCCGCCGCCCCCTCCCAGTACAATGATGTAAAAAAGCCTCCTCCGCCATATTTGCTTAACAGAGGTTTGATTTCAAACCTTTTTTCATTTAATTTAATTTATTGAATTTTATCTATTTTTAGATTAATATTAGTATGAATTTAATGGCAGAAATGGTGTCTATGATTATTTATTTATTTAAGGGTCAATTACTGAGTACTAGAGGACCTGAGGATGATGATGAATCTCATGATAAACTGTAGATGGAGAGGGCAATTACTAGGTGATTCCAATTTAATTTAATTTATTTTTCTTTGTCTAAAGTTCAAGGGTATTAAAGTTAGAACCTTTCTTGGGATTTCCCTTAACGAGTGTTCTTTTAATCGATATATATTTTTTGTTTTTATTTTGGGAAATCATTTTGATTAATTTATTCTTCTAGTCTATTTGTTGTAAATCTACAATGATGTTCCTTGTAGAGGCACCTGGTTTTCTTCAGTTTGGGTACAATTGATTTGATTATACGGTGCTGGATTTTATCTTAATTTAGAGTGCAATGTATCATTTGGTCGATAATATGATAAATAAAAATGACTCTCTTTGTGCAAATTGACTAATATGATTTTACAAAAATTTTCTGTTTTATTTGTAAAGATGAGTCGAAGCTGGATGTACGATATACATAATACATTGGAATTTATGAATGGGGTGTCTGAGTTTTGTAAACATTGTTTAGATCATAGAGCATTGACTGGTTGTGATGAGTTATATTGTCCTTGTGTGGATTGTGCCAACGTAAGTTCACTCCGGTCAATAGAGACAATTAGAGAACATTTAATTCGTCGTGGATTTAGACAACAATACTATGTATGGATATGGAGCATTGACTGGTTGTGATGAGTTATATTGTCAGAATAATGACACGTTCTGAGGCTGAGGGTGTGAATAATGAAGACAATGAAAGTGGTTGTGATCTGAGTGACGAAGTACATCCTATGGATGAGATGATGGGTGGAGTCAAAGACTTTTGTACTGGATGACCACGTATTTTTGAAAGTTTGTCACAAGCAGCAGAAAAACCATTATATCCTGGGTGTACAAAATACACAAAGTTTTCTGCCGTGATAACACTTTATAATGTGAAAGCCAAGAATAATTGGAGCGACACAAGTTTCACATCCTTGTTGGAAGTATTACATGACATGCTTCCTGACGGAAATGAAATGCCAAAGTCAAATTATTATGCGAAGAAGCTCATGTGCCCTTTGGGTTTAGAGTACCAAAAGATTGACGCATGTACGAATGATTGTGTCTTGTACTGAAATGAATACCGCATGTTGAACAAGTGTCCGCGTTGTGGTAAGTCACGGTACAAATGTGATGGCGTTGACTCAAAAAGTGATAAGAAAGGGCCACCGGCAAAAGTGTTGTGGTATCTTCCCATAATATCGAGGTTGAAGCGTCTTTTTTCGATGAAGACAAATGCAAAATATTTGAGGTGGCATGGAGAGAAGCGGAAGAAAGATGGGATGCTAAGACATCCAGCAGACTCTCCCCAATGGAAAACTATTGATGCATCATTTCCGGATTTCGGCAAGGAAGTGCGGAATGTAAGACTAGCTCTATGTACGGATGGAATGAATCCATATGGGAGCTTTAGTAGTCAACATAGTACATGGCCGATTCTGTTAGTTATATATAACCTGCCGCCCTGGTTGTGCATGAAGCGTAAATATATGATGTTGTCGCTTTTAATATCTGGACCTAAACAGCCCGGGAATGACATTGATGTCTACCTCGCTCCTCTCATTGATGATCTGAAAACATTGTGGGATGAAGGAGTTTCAGTCTTTGATGCACATACCAGTGAGTACTTCACATTGTGTGCCATGATGTTTTATACAATCAATGATTTTCCCGCATATGGGGATCTGTCCGGATATAAGGTGAAAGGAAAGAAACCTTGTCCCATTTGTGATGATGATTTGGACTCCACATATCTACCTCATTGGGGGAAGTATGTGTATATGAAAACCCGGAGGTATCTTCCTCGGCATCACCCTTATCACAAGAAGAAGAAAGCATTTGATGGAGATGTTGAGATGAGATCTGCTCCTAGACCCTTAACTGGAAGGGAAGTTTATGAACGTCATAAGGGTGTTGTGCATATCTTCGGCAAATCAAAAAAGAACAAGAAAGAGTCTACCTCTTTATGGAAAAAAGAGTCCATATTCTGGAAGCTTCCTTATTGGCAACACTTGACAGTTAGACACTGTCTTGATGTGATGCACATTGAAAAAAATGTTTGTGATGCTATTATTGGAACACTATTGAACATCCCAACAAAGACAAAATATGGCATACATGTCCGGAGAGACATGCAAGAAATGCAAATTCGACCTGAATTGTGAGTGCAAGATAAGGGCGACAAAGGGAAAAAGAAGTCTACATTTACTCTACCTCCCGCTTGTTATACCTTGTCTGCAGCTGAAAAACGAATCTTTTGTGAGTGTTTGTACAATATTAAAGTTCCTACATGATACTCTTCCAACATAAAAAAGCTTGTCTCTTCTGATGGTGTGAAATTAGTTGGGATGAAATCCCATGATTGCCATGTTATGATGCAAGTTTTCTTGTCCATTGCAATTTGATCTATCTTGCCAAAACATGTGAGAGTTGCTATCACAAGACTGTGTGCCTTTTTTAATACAATATGTAACAAGGTTCTTGATCCAGAAGCATTGGATGATTTGCAAGCTGATGTCATCGTAACACTATGTCAATTTGAAATGTTTTTCCCACCTTCATTCTTTGACATAATGACCCATCTAATAGTACATCTGGTTCGAGAAATCAAGATGTGTGGTCCAGTATTCTTGACGTGGGCGTACCCATTTGAGAGACATATGTCTACACTGAAAGGTAAAGTGCGAAATCCTTCTCGACCTCAAGGTTGTATCATCCAAGGAACTATAACGGAGGAAGTTAGCGAGTTCTGTGCTGAGTACTTATCCAATACGCAACCTATTGGGCTCCCAAAATCTCGACATGAAGGAAGACTTGAAGGAAAAGGAACTATCGGTGCCAAATAAATCTTACCTTCTACAGAGAAGAAAAATAAAGCCCACTTGTTTGTGTTGCAACACCTTTCCGAGGTTCATCCATATGTGGAACAACATTTGCGTGAGTTGGCCCTAAAGTATCCATCTAAAGGTGAAAGAGCACTAATGCAAGAACATGATCGTACTTTTGTTGGTTGGTTTAATGCCCGCATGATGCAACAATTGTCTAACACGCGCAATAATGTTTCTGCCACAATAAAGTGGATAGCATATGGTCCTCGGGAGAGTGTGTACTCTTATGAGGGTTATGACATTAATGGATTTACCTTCTACACTAAACGTCAAGATAATAAGTCAACGGTGCAGAATAGTGGAGTTACAGTGGTGGCATCATCTAGAGAATATGCAAGGTGCTAAAGATAAATCTCCTATCGATGCAAAGTTGTCTTACTATGGGATCATACAAGAAATATGGGAACTTCACTACACTGATTTTCATGTTCCCATGTTTCAATGTAAGTGGGTTGAAAACAACTGACGTGGTGTGAACATAGATGATTGCGGGTTCACTCTAGTTGACACTAGTCATTTCCGCGATAGTGATGAGCCATTCATACTTGCAACACAAGTTAAACAAGTTTTCTACATAACAGATCCTGTTGACAATAGATGGAGTGTTGTTGTTCCAGGGAAGAGACATATTTTAGGCATTTCTGATGTTAGTGATGAGGATGAGTATAATCAACACGAAGACTTCCCACCTTTTTCAGTCCCTAAAATCTTACTCATTGAAGAAAAGAATATCGACGAGCAATATATGCGTTCACATCATCAAGAAGGGATTGAAGTTCCAAAGTCTTAGTGTAGTTTAAGGTACAAATTTAGTTTAGATGAATGTTAATTAATGTTTTTTTATATTTTATGTTAATAAATGAATGTGAATTAATGTTTTTTTCATATTTTACATAACATGCAGGCACTCCACCATGGCTGATGATGATGAGGATTTTGTTTTAGACGAAGAAGACATTTTAAATGATGAGGATGTAGTTGATGATGCTAGATCACGACGCATTTCTAATTTTGAAGAGGAGGCTGATATTAGAGGAGAAATGGAGGATGTGGGATACTCGTTGGATGAGATCCAAGAAGCATTGGTGAAGAAAAAACAAAAAAAGAAGGACGCTGGTAAGAAACCTGGGAGGGGGGCGTTCAAGGGGTTAAAAGTAAATGAACCTATGTTCTTACAATTTGATCCACTTGGTCGTGCGACTGGTCAGTGGAGATTGAAATTTGGGCAAGATATTGGTTTATGTATGCGCAAATTGAACATCAATTGGAGGTGGTCTGTCGTATCTATGGGCTTGAGAGATACTCTTTGGGACGATACTAGGGTAAGTATCTTAGTTAAAATGATTTATAATGTGTGTTTAGTGATAAATCTTGTTGAATAGTATCTGTCTTTCATACATTTTTAAAATGTGAATATTTAATAATTTGTTTTTTATTGTTTCAGAATTTATTCCACCTTGATGATGATCCTAAGATAAAGAACATTGTTTTATCCACGATGGCATGTCATTTTAGAGATTTTAAGGCGAAGTTAGTTTCAGGATGGATCACTTGTGTTAGAAAGCGATCAAAGAATGAAGACGGGAAACTTCCGCCCCAAATTTGGCGTCACATTACACCTGAAATTTGGGAAGAGTTTAAGAGACGTAAGACAACTCCAGAGGCTGAGGTAATTGTTAAAAACACTTATGAAGTATGTGTAGATGAAATATAGATTAAACTCTAATTTTTTAATAGGAGACAAGGAAAAAAGCAATAGAGATTGCTTTGCAAAACCAATACCATCATCATATGGGTCAAAGAAATTATGAAGACAGTAGGGCTGTCTGGATCGATGAAGGTTTCTATCCTACTCCTTGCACTGAATCTTCAATTCTTCATCAATTGGGTCAAGTACTACACAGTTCAATAGAGGTGATGATTGGTATTGTGCCATGCATGCTCGTGATAAAGAGGGGAATCGGGTTATTCCAGAAAAGCATACGAAGGAAGTAGCTGATAAATATGTAAGGTTTTTATAATATAATTTCCTTGTTATAAATAAGACTCTTATGTAATATATAATTGTAATAGGTCGAGTATAAGAACAAACAGAATATGATTGAATTTTTTCCATTGCGCAATAGAGATGCTTTGTACTATGCTCGTGGAGAGAAGGTGGACCACGCTGGCCGTGTTGTTGGATATGGTGGCACTAATGTTGGACATACGAAATCATTTGGCAAAAAGCCAATTCAATCACAGTGTAGTGGATGTTCTTCACAAAGCATTGAGTCCATAAAAGCCTCATTGAGGGAAGAGTTTAAGGAACAGGTGAATGAAATAGTGAAGAAAAACATGATCAACATCTTGAACGAAATGCGTCTTACAGGTTTTAACTTCTCCAGTGGTGCCTCTATTCCGACGCCCTCAACATCAATAAATCACGCACCACATCCATTTCCAAATGATGAGTTGCTGGTATTTAGTAGTTGTTTTATTTGTGAATTACTTTTTGTATGTTAAAGATATGCGTTTATTTATTGCCTTTGAATGTTATAAATGTGTTTGTAGGGTCCACGAGCATGCCGTTTTTTTTGAATGATTTTGGAACCAGACAATTGTTTGAGGTGGGTGGTGGCACAACATTTCCTTCTCGAACTAGAGTAAGTTGTCGTCACATGCCAATTATGGAAGGCCACTTAAAGGTGAGCGTAGACACCATTTTGAACGAGTATGTGGGTGTCACACTTCCCGTACCTGTTCCCACTGTGAATCTTTTTACCATAGGCGACGCCCAAGGTAGTTTTGTTCAATGGCCGGTTGATTGGGTGAAATTTGTAACTGAGGTAATTATATGAAAGTATATATATTTTAAAGTATGTGTGTGTATAAGTGTCTTTACTTATTTATGAGTTTCTTCACAAATCCAATGCCTTTATGTGATATTTATTTATTAGTTAGAAATGATATGTAGGTCACGGGTAATAAATCATCAAAGGGCAAGAAGAAATTGGATATCCGTAAAAAATCGGTCAAACGATCTCTAGTTTCTGATGGTGTGTTTTTGTCACTCAGTAAAGATTGCAAGTGGTTGCACTCGATTATAGCATCTCGGACTAGCGACGATCCCTTTGTAATTACTTTAGATGATCGCGTGTTCCATTATAAATCAAGTGATGGTGATGTGTATCTTAACAACGAGGACATCTCTCAGTTTCTGTCTGGTGCAATGCTTAATATATCCATTATTCAAGTATTCATCAAGTAAGATATAATAACTGCATTACTTAATATATTACTATGGTGTTCAATTTTCATTATATATTAAATTGATTTTTTTATAGAGCAATGCATGAGTATACCGAGGGTTTGAATACAAATGCGTAACTTGGATGGATGTGTCCAGATGCAATTTGTGCAACTTCATGTGACCATAACCCAGAAGATGTGAGAGAGTACATACACCGAGCCATCATTGAGTCTCGCAATTCTGGCGTAGATATTATTCTTGCTCCTTACTACGAAAAGTATGCATTCATACCTACTTATATTAATTTCATTTATCATAGTTATTAACATTAATGATATATATATATATATATATATATATAGAGAGAGAGAGAGAGAGAGAGAGAGAGAGATTTTGGTTCAAATAAGAACATGATCTTATGAGAAAAATGAGAATGAATCTGGACCGTTAGATTTGCTTTATGTGAAATTCAGTGTGCATTAGATGAAGCTGTAATGTGTATTAGGTGAAATTGAAATGTGCAGCACAAATGATACAATGTAGTGGCATTATGTGAAGCTAAATTGTGCATTAGGTGAATTTGAAATGTGCACTAGATGAAACTAAAATGTGCAGAATAAAAGGTACGATATGATGTTATTTTTGTACCTTTTATTCTGCACATTTGAGTTTCACCTAATGCACATGTGAGTTTAAATTTTAATTCTGCACATTTCAATATCATCTAATGCACATTTCGGTTTCACCAAATGCACAATTCAGTTACACATAATTCAATCCAACGATCCAGATTCGTTCTCATTTCTCTCATATGATCCGTTCTTACCGGAATCGTTCTCATTTTTCTCTCATAAGATCGTTGATTCAAATTTTTTCGACGTCATATTTTGATAGAGTTTCCTATATGTCAAGATGTTACATGCAACTAGTGCATCGAAAATCCGAAAAGTAGGAATGTATAAAAAATCGAAAAACGTGGTATGACACTGAATCATAATGATACGATACCCAATTGGATTGATACTAAATTAATTAACATGTTTTAAAATGGGATAATCTTTTTCGTACATAATTGATCCTGAACCAAACTCAAACAGGATGGGATGGGTGAACTGGCCTTTTAGTTTAGGATTGACATTTGGGACCAAAAAATCTGAAATAACCCGATCCGCATGAAAAATGGAAGCAATAGAATTCGTAACCTGAATATTGCAACTCGAAGAAATACGGTTCAAAATTGGTTTATAATCCGTATATTTCTCCATTGAATTGAATTGGTACCCCAAATTTATCTCATTTCCTACCCCATATAAAAACCTTCTCCCCTCCCCACTTTTCTTCTCTCCCTCCCCCCACTTTTCTTCTCTTTCCCTTCCTCTGTCCTCCCTCTTTTCTTTTTACGCAGCCCCCCTCCCCCATCTTCTCCCCTTTCTTTCTCTTTTCTCCGAATCTTGATTTCTTCTCCATGTCAACATCTCTCTCCATCAAGTCTTCTCATTTTGACAATCTTTTCTCCCTCCAAGCTTATTCGCCTGCTTCTCGCCTCTTTAGCCTTTTTTTTGTTTCAAATGCAAGAGCTACAGTAGATCGGATGAAGGGGAGAGCTGGGTGACGTTGGATAGCTTGACATGGTGAGACAACGACGAAAGTGCAGACCAAGAAGCTTTGAATGACTTGCGCAGATCTACTTTTCTTGATTGCTTTCTTGATTTTTTGGTGTGTTTTCGAAAAAAGGGTTGTCTGTCTGACAGACAACTTGTAAGTGCAGTGTCTGTATTTGTTAGTAAGACTCGTGAAGTTGTCTGTCATTTGATTGTTAGTTGTTTATATTTGTTTTGAGTTTTCTGTATTTGTTTCGAGTTGTCTGTCATGTTGTTGTGAGAAGTCTGTAAGAGTCGTGAAGTTGTCTGTCTGTCTGTAATTGATGGTTAATTATCTGTATTTGTTTTGAGTTGTCTGTATTTGTTTTGAGTTGTCTGTATTTGATTGTGAGTTGTCTTTATTTTGTGATGTTTATTTTTTGAGATGTAATTAGTATAACGAGGCAGACATTAAATATACACATCCAGACAACAAGTATACACATACATACATTACTTTATTGTGAATTACCATTTTGGAATATGTTTCATAAAGAAAACAGACAATACATATAACTAGACAGACAATAGAGATAACCAGACAGACATTATTTTCACCACAAATTACATACAACTCACAATAAAATGACAAACAACTAAGTATGAGTTACAGACAACTTCACAACTCTAAACAAATACAAACAACTAACAAACAAATGACAAACAATTAAATATCAATTACAGACATTTATTTTTCAAACGACAGACAATTTCATGACTCTTACAGACACTGCACTTACAAGTTGTCTGTCTGACAGACAACCCTTTATATCTCGAAAATACATCAAAACTGAAGAAAACAAAAATCAAGAAAAGAAGATATGTTGCTCAAGTTATTCAAAGCTTCTTGGTTTTCCTTCGTCGTTATCTTCCCTTGAGGTTGCATCTGAAATGGCAACCACCGTAGGCCCGCCGTCGGCAACTGGCGTAGGCCCGACGCCGGCAACATCACCGGTTGAAGAGGAGATAAGAAAATCCAAGGTTGGAAGGGGGAAAGATGATAAAAATGGGAAGGAAGTCTTAAAGAAAGGAAAAGATTTTGAGACGGAGAAGAAAGGAGAAGGGAGGGGGTGCGTGAAAAGAGGAGAGTGAAAGGAAGAAAGGTGGGGTGCAAGAGAGAGGAAGAAAGGTGGGGTGCAAGAGAGAGGAAGGAGGGAAAAGAAAAGTGGGGGTGGGTTTTATATGGGGTACAAATGGGGTAGGGTTTGGGGTACCTATAGCAAAATGGTTGAATATTGCAACCGTCTTTTACGCGCAATGCACAAGAGCGAATGCCCAACAATACAATTTACTCCCTCCGTTCCTTATAGTTTTACCAACTTTCCTTTTTTTGTTGTCCCAAAAATTTTGTCACTTTACCTTTTAATCAATCAATTTGTGGCTTCTGTTATTTCTCTCTTCTCTACACAAATCTCTACCACACAGTTTTTACTTTATTATTCTACATGTCGGTCAAACTTGGATATCCTTTTAGGGACGGAGGGAGTATCATTTATGCTCAATTGCAATTTATACGACGGTAACTCTTAAGTTTAACATATCTTGAAGCATGTGTCACTCAATCAAAATACTTAGTTCAATCAACTATTATGTTGATATTCCAATCAACTATTCATTGTTATGGACGTATGGTACGCTACAAAAAAACAAAGGTGTTGTCACGGATTTTGTCACGGAACTTAGTTCAAAAAAATTGTGACAAAATTATTACGGAGAACGTTAATTGCATTACTTCACAATACTAAAATTATGAAAATCTAATAATACACAATAAATAATTAACCAACATGTAAATGAAATGAAATTCAAATCATTCACATTTAAATCCATTTCAATCAACTAATATTTAAATTTAACTAATATTATCAATTCAAATCCTAAATTAACAGTATTACCTAATAATATTATCAATTCAAACTCATTTCAATTAACTAATATTTACATTTAACTAATATTGTCACGGAACTAAAGTTCACTAATTTAACTTTGTTGATTTACATTTAAGTAAAATTATTAAAATTTTATTAATTCAAAATAATAATTCACACTAAACAAATGTTTCAATCCTAAGTTAAATCACTACAAATCCTAAATTAGGCAATAAAAATAATTGCTAATAAACAAACCTCAAAATTTTATAATCCATTTTCAATTAACTAATATTTAAATTTAACTAAATTACGTTTATAGTTGAATATATTGTTAATAAATTAACAACCTCACTAATTTAACAATTTTAATTATTTAAAATGAAAAAATTAATACTTATTAAAAAACTACATATTGTATTTTACTCTGAGTGAATTTTAACTCCTATCACTCGAATGGGAATGCACTGCTATATATAAAACTATTTGTCACGGATAAATCCGTGACAAATACATTTTCGTACACCATTAATAACGTCACCGCTGAACATCAATTATTAGAGTTTGTCACGGACTTTGTCACGGATCTGTCTGTGACAAAAAAAAATTGAATTTTGTCACGGAGTTGTCACGGATGCGTCCGTGACAATTGTTTTTGAATTTTGTCACGGAATTGTCACGGTTATATCCGTGACAAATGGCAGGGAAGTAAATGTATTTTGGCCGGAGTAAATTGTCGGTCATCGGAGGCTGTTTGTCACGAATTTCATCCGTGACAAAAGTTTTGTCACGGATTTTGTCACGGAAATATCGTTGACAAACCTTCTTCGTGACAAACTAGAAATATCCGTGACAAAGCCCGTGACAACTTTGTCACGGACCGGATCCATGACAAAAATCCGTGACAAACGGGCTGTTTTTTTGTAGTGGTATATGTATTTGCTAGTCACTACATGTAATAAAATCTTCCATTGACATTGGTCTTTGAACTAAATAATATAATTAAGATTGTTGATGAATCCACATCTACCATAAATTTATAACAAAATAGCTAAAGTGACGCGCTAAAATAACGAAGATGATGCTTAATTAGTAGGAGTTGTAACTTATACATTTCGCTTCTTCGGAGTCTTCTTTTCTTTTTTGTAACCAATATATTTACCTATTTTTTAGCATATTAGTATTATCAATTAAGATGATAAATTTAGGTTTTTTATGTTTTTTAGAGTTTCACTTTTAATGATATATGAATTCATTATTTTGTACTTCAATATTTTTTTTTGTGTGTTTTGGTCAACCAACCTGGTCAATAATTATTTGAAAATGAATTTGGGACATGTGTAGTAATAAAATACTCCAAACAGTTTCCATTTTTGGCAGTACCAAAAAGATCTTTACACTTCTTATTTACCTTACATATCTACACCAAACAATGCCAAACAGTGTCAAACAGTGCCAAACAATGTCACACTTCTTAATATTTGTGAAGTCAAAGTGTAAAGATCTTTCAGAATCGGAGGGAGTATATTTCAACATAATCTCTTCATAATTCGGGGGCTTCGGGCAATTCAACTTCTAGAGACAAAGAATCAAGGATATCAGTTCATTTTGGATCTACTAGACAAAACCTTTATCTTCTAATTTAATAAATGGATTTTTGTAATTATTATAACTCTTATAAAGGTTACAGGCAACGATGTTTAATTATAAAATGTTTTAGCAATTTAGTACTACCTCCATTCTTAAACTATGTTCTAATAATTGTTCTACGCGTCCGACTAGTCCCCGCCTAGGCGCTAGGCGGTGGCCGGGCGCCCCGATTTTCGTCTAGACACTCCGACTAATTGGTTTGCCGTGTATGTGAATTAATCAGACGCCTATGACGCATAATTGCACGCCCAGAGCGCCTAATCGACCGCCTAGGCCGTCTAGATTCGCCGAACATTACTTTACTTTTAAATTGTAATTTTCTAAGCGATATAAGTATTTTAACTTTAACCACAAATATAAAGGAATGAAGTTGTAAATTAAGATAAAAACTATATATATTTGTAACCCGCCCCATGTCAATCTAGTCGGACCCTAGCCACCGGATTTAGAAGAATGGTCGGGGGCCTCCCAAAGAGTTGTGTTGTTGCTTCGTCAATTTAGAGGAGATTGAAAGAGTCCACTACAACATTGCGGGATTAGCGAGTTGAGCCGCTCTTATGCGTGACTACAACTCTGAGTCTCATCCCAGTGTAATCTTTGATATGGCAATCTTGTATATGGTTTGTTTTTAATATGAATTAAGTTGTCTTTTGCCAAAAACAAAACAAATCAGTACTCACTCCATAAATAATGATTTGGCTTCGTTTTGGGATTTGAATAGTCCTTAGCCCTAGTAGTTTAGTTACACACACGTATACATATACTTACAATTTTATATTTATTATCATGTATACAAATCCTAAATCTTTATTTTTTTTATCGCCAACTAGCCTTCTTTCATATCATAAATCCTTTATTATATAATCCATCTACTTGTATTTTTTTCTTTTTATTTTTCTATTTATGATTAATTCCCCTTGCTAGTTATTAGGCATACAAAATCAACTACACTCATCAAACATAAACTACACTCATCAAACATAAACTAACTACTAAGAAATTTAAATTTGGAAGGTAGACTTGTAAGAGTTTAGTTATTTGCATTTATGTTTCAGTTTTAGTGTTAAACAAAATATTTAGTCTTACATTTGTGTTGTCAATGTAATCTACTAGTTGTGTACCCGTGCATTGCACGGTAAGATATGTGTTGAAAAATTTCTCAAAATTATAAGAGAAGTGAATTGTATGTCAATTCGTCAATTGGAATTTAAAAGAGAATTCAATTGACTATGTATAGAGTTGTCAAAATGAGTCGATCTGTAAGGCAAACCTATTTCATCCCATTTCATGATGAGTTAAAGTTATCATTTTTAACTCGTTGAACTCACCAATTTTGTGTGTCAATCTTCATGGGTTGTAAGTTAAGTTGGTTGGCTGATGCAGGTTGCGAGTTGGTCAGTATACAAACAACTAATTTTAACTTTCATTATCTTCACTACCAAATTTACTACCAAATTTAATTTCAATTATATACTCATCTAGAAAACTGCCTTCAATAGGAATCGAATCTTCGCTATTATATACTCATTTGTCTACAACCTTTGTTGAACTATTATTTTTATGATAATAATTATTCAAATAAATTACTCCAGCATATTTTTATGTTATAGTTGAGTTTATTCCAATTAGTGGTTAGTATTTACAATATTTACTCAAAAGATCTAATTAATTGTATCTTTATTTTTGTATTATGAGTGCTTTTTTATATACCATTTAATGGTTAAGTAAATAATTTAAAATACACACAATGTTTATGAGGATGCAATTAAAATTAAATTGTATCGAATGTAATATTATTTATTTCAGAAATGAAATTTTAGAAAATTAACTGCATTAATTTGTAATCTAACAAAATTTAGAGTATTTTAAATTATGTATTAATTCAAATAAATTTGTATTTATAAAAAACATACAATCATGAAGTGAAAATAACTTTTAATATAACATTTGGGGTATATATATTACATATGCATGGTTGAGGTATTTATCTCACACCCCATTAAACTTTAGAGTATTTAAATTATTTTCCACTTTTAGTTTATTTTCAGGGTAATTATTTCCAAGGTCTTTTTTCATGTAATTTTTACATTGATCTACATGACAGCCTTTGAAGCCCATATATTAGAATATATGACCCGCCATTAGGTAGTTATACCGATCTAAATCATGAAAAGCATAACCCACCACGGGTTGGGTAAGATCAGAGAGTGTTAGCCCGTTCGACAGCGTGATACATAAATTGCGAGAAAGGTATAAATAAATATGAGATAAAATAGTGAATCTACATTTAGATATTGATTTGGTAGTAATAATTAGGTAAGTAATACCACAATTATCCCATTGAGATCGAGACATGTGCAATTATTAAAAAAGATTTTATGTGAGTAATATTGAATTGAAAAAGAAGAGATAATGTAAGAATGATTTAGAGGTACAGACATACGTATTACAATATTTGGAGCTACATAAATCTAGTGATGGGAAGAAAAAAGAAATGGGAGAAAATCAATGATGCATAGGGATTAATAAGTACCCCCTTCATCCATTAAAACTTTGCCAACTTTTCTTTTTTGAATGTCTCATTAACTTTGTCACTTTCCCTTTTAAGTAAAGAATTTGTGGCTCTAGTTAATTCTCTTTCCTCTGCACAAATCTCAACCACACAATTTTTACTTTATTAATTCCTGTGCCGGTCAAACTTGGCAAAGTCTTAAGGGACGGAGGGAATATCATATTCTGGAAAAAATAAGCACCAATTTTCGATTTGGTTCGATTCAATTCGTTGAAACCAAATCATTTTATCCAGCCCTCCTGAATTTTCTACGATACGGTAAACTGCCGTTTCAAATCTTGACGTTATCAAACAATTTTTGGGCGCATTCCGACCGACCATTATTGACTCCAATCATTTCAAGAATTCCAGTCCCTGTTACTATCGTACTCCGTATTAAATTACCAAAAATATGTTTGTACCCATCCCCTATTTTGCTTGTGCACACAGGCAATTCTTTAAGAACAAGACAATATTTTGTCTGTGTTTATCTATGTAGACGGATAAAATAAAGGGTGAGTACAAATGTGAGTACCACGTACAACCACAACCACACATACTCTTGATAGGCAGTGTGTTGTGATCAAAGAGTAATCAACCGAAGGAATTAATGGCTAGGCAGTCGATAACGTGGCTGGCTAATTGAGTAATGGCTATGCATGAGGGGCATCGACGGCATTCCCAGATAGCCTCTCAATCTTCCTTGCTGATTACCCAACATTCCACTCGATTTTCATTCTCTTCGTTTCCACATACATTTTAGCGTAAGCAAAGCTGAAATCAATCAATGGCAGTGAAGGAAGAGAAGAAGCCGTCGGTGGAAATCAACAAGCTGAGGTTCACCTACCCAGGAATCGATGGCCACCCGCCGCCTGGCTCCACTCCACTCATCGACGACTTCTCCCTTACTCTTTTTCCCGGTGACCGCTATCTTCTAGTCGGATCTAATGGCGCAGGTTTGGTTCCTGTGATACTTTCCATATAATGCTGCACTTTTATCCGGTGGCAACTATGCTTGATCTAAAAATCTAACCAGGTCCTTCAAATTTCTTGGTTTGTAGTTGATAATCTGATTTTGCTTCTTTTCTTTGGTGAAAAAATCTCAGGGAAGACGACAATTCTCAAGATATTGGGAGGGAAGCATATGGTGGAGCCACATATGGTTAGAATTTTAGGACGATCAGCATTTCACGACACTGCTTTGACGTCTTCAGGCGACCTTTGCTATCTTGGGGGAGAGGTTTCTTCATTTTCTTTTCTTCGCTTACCTCTTTGTGGTTTAAGGTTATCTTCATTCTCTCCATGCTGATTCTTAGTTAGCTCTAGGTGCTGTTTGCTTCTGTTTGGATTTCATAGCAAACTTTGATAGAACTCTGAGTAAAATTTGTAGTCAGTATTGTTATTTTGTTGCCTTTTGAAGTTATCAATTAGAATGAGTATGGTGTTGTGCATCTATAATGAAACCTTTTTTATGGCAATCCATGGAGAAAAATCTCAATTTTTGAGCTACTCACTACCGTAGAGAAATTTTGGCTTTGCTGCTAACTGAAGTAGCTCAAGTGAGTACACTCCATAGTTTTCTCCTTGCTACATAGGTTATTAATTGAAAACATGTGGCCAAACTTGTATAATAAATTACAACCAATTGTGTACTCTGCTAAAATGGTGGCCTATTCACAGTGGAGGAGAGAAGTTGCTTTTGCTGGGTTTGAGGTGCCTATTCAAATGGATGTCTCTGCTGAAAAAATGATATATGGGGTTACAGGTGTCAATCCCCAAAGACGAGATGAATTAATTAAGGTAAGGCATATTTCTAAACCAAATGACACTGATACAAGTATGAACATTGTTGGCAGTTGGCACCACTAATTTCTTTGTTTTCATTTGCTCAATCTTTGCATGGTTAGTTGGTGACCTTCGGTCTTTCTATAAGCACAGCCCCACCTTTTGGGAGTAAGGCATAAATGTTGTTTTTGTTGTTGTTGTTGTACTGTCTCACATTCCCTGTTTTTTATCTAAAATGAATTCATCCAACTAACTCTTCTTCTTTTCTTTGCTTAATTTTATCATTCATTTAGAACCCTTAAATTTGTGTTTATTAAATTTCGATGTAGTTAGCCTTTTTAGCCTATCCCAATACAAAAAGGTAAGAAGGATCCTCAAAGAATTAATATCACTTGTATCAATAAGATGGTGTACTTTGACAATTTTTGAATTTGGGAAACTGATTTTTTTTGAAGGCTCATATCTTTTTGTTTTTTCCTACATCCCTGTCATGGAACCCAAGTGTAAAATATAGTCTTGTTTTTGTAAATACAGAATACACTTCCAGAAGAAGTGTTGGAAACTAAATTGCTTTAATGGCTTGTATCTTTTTTTTTTCCTGCCTCCCTGTCATAGAACCTAAGTGTAAAATATAGTCTTGTTTTGGTGAATGCAGAAAACACTTCCAGAAGAAGTGGTACAACCAAATTACGGTTGTGGTTTTCACAGTACTTTGTCATATTGTGTATATTTGTCATACACTGAGCTGTGCAATTTTATTACCATGATATGATGAAGCGAAAATGTAAACAAATAAAAAAGGTTTTATGAATAGATGAATAGTTGATGTTTATTGGGGTGCCTGGGTAATAGCTGTTTTTAGAATGGCCTACGTACTCCCTTTTTTGGCAAGATATACTGATTGACAGGTCAGTTGTACTAGTTGGGAGATGATTTAGACTCCATGAAATATCTGTATGGGAGATCTGGTGCTCCATTTTCAATTGACATTCACTCCTAGGGATTTGTGAGGCCCTTTTGTTTTGGTATTAAGTTTTTGGTGGTGAGGACACAAGGTGAAGAGCCCCAGTTGTGGCAGTAGACTAGTAACTAACGGTCGAAATGTATTAGCTGTAATATTAAAAAATAATCCCTCCTTTCCTAAATTATTGCCCAATTTGACTGGGCAGTGGGCACAGAGATTAAGAAAGTAAACCGTGATGGTTGAGATATTCAAATCGCTTTCTTTAAAATGAAATGAGCAATAAGTATAGGAAGGGTGGGAAAATGTAGATAATTTAGAGACAGTACATTTTTGAACAAGTTCAATCAAGAAAAACAATACATTTTAAAGTTATTAATGCACATTAAATTTTTCCTTCCACAATTATCTCTCTCGAAATTTCTATAAAAAAAGATGACTCCCCATCCCTGAGAGCCCCGAGGACCGGCTTGACAGTTATCGGGAAGGAGGTAAATTGGACTTTAATCACAGACTTGATAGAGACTAGGTTCTGGCCCTGATTTTGCTCGCAGTTGAACCTGGACTTACCCCTTGTATCACTCCCCTCATACCAACTGAACTACGCCCCTCGGTTCAGAATTTCTGTAAACACGTTACTAATAAAACAAATAACGGCATATTAGGATGTGGAGATTATTTATAACGCTTTTAATCATTTTCTTAGCTTGTATGCAAGCCAAAACCGTACATATAATATGGACAAGAGGGCAATATAAATCTATTGAATTAATATATAAAAAGGGAAGGGAATATTCTGTCTGAGTTTAAAAGACAAGAGATGCACTTCCCCCATGACATAAGTTCTAGAAGATCTAGACAAGAGGATGATAAAGACACTTAAGAACCACAACAAGACATCTCAAAACAAGTACACTTCCCCCATGACATAAGTTACAGAGCAATTTGGCTATGGAGTATTCCGATAACTCAACACTCAAAGCCAAACGTCTAATGTATGGGGTGACACTTGACATAAATCACTATTGCCAAGAGTTATGACGATACTTCAATCTCTCATTGCCATCACCATATGACCCGTCCTATTACATTCTCCAACATGAAAACAATCCAAATATCATGGAGGAAAGTGGAAGTTGCATTAACTTGAATTCTTAAACTTTAGTTGTGCAACCGTTAAACTATCTTACATGGGATTCTTAGGTGAAACAATGTACATTTTATGGATGTGTCACTTGCTTGCTCATTGCGTACAATGCACCTCAAATGGGGTAGAACTTGGTGACTCAGAATTCCGAAATGCTAATGTTTTGTCAAAGAAATTTAAGATCGATCCAAGTTTTATCAGCTAACTCAATTTTAGCACTTTTTATGTTTGCATCAAGCATAATATGTCAAATTGATCTACATAATTTGATGAACATTTTGTTTACCTGTTTTACACATGTTAACATTAGGCCGTATCACGAATTAAACGGATGGATTCCTGACAAATATGTGTTCTTATTCTTAGAACACCAACAGAAAAGAATGGATTAAGTGGCAGAGAACTTGCATGGAGTAAATATCTCAACAGAAAATGAAAGCTGGAAGGCATCCAATGTTACGGAATAGCTACCCGGACCAATTGTCTTTTGTCTGTGAAACAAAAATCGTCTGGTTAGTGAAAGCGCCTGGCGAACGACTACTGAAGCTTTTGAAATGTAACCTATGGATGAAAAGCGTCTGACTTTCATAGATAACCGTCCAGTTTATAAATATTGCCAATTCCACACAGTTTCTATCAAGTGAAAGCCGCACAGCTCTCCAGGAAAGCTGTCAGGCTTGTTCTGATTATATAGTCAAATCAGGCTACACTAAATAGCATTATTTTGGAAACAACAAAATCGTCACAAACTGTGAAATCTTGTCCAAAGATGGCAAATGAAGCTCCCCTTAAAGAGTTTGCACTCCATTCCTTCAAGGATCATCAATTTTTTCCGAAAAAAATCCACTATTAGTCTCGTGACTATTGTACCACTTCCACATTTAGTCCCTTAATTTCAGATTGCCCACATTTTGTCCGTGACCATTATCCCCTCACCACCCCTCGTCCTTCCGGCCGAAATTCCGGCAAATTTAATGCAGATTTTAGGTATGAAAAACCAAATTTAATGCAAAGACTGATATGAAATACTCAACCTTATATAAAATTTAATGCAAAGACTGATTCTGAGGTTGATAAGTGGACTAAATTTGCCGGAATTTTGGCCAGAAGGACGAGGGGTGGTGAGGGGATAATGGTCACGAACTAAATGTGGAAAATCCAAAAGTAAGGGACTAAATGTGGAAGTGGTATAATAGTCGTGGGACCAAAAGTGGTTTTTTTTCATTTTTTCCCAATAAAATTACCATTTCCTTCACCTTAACCTTGAAAAAGTCTCTTTGTTGAAGAGTTGTCATCATAGTAGCTTGGAGTTTTGGATGTTATATCTATAATGTACTTGAGTTTGCTTTACATTATAAGCCTTATATTATCATTATGAGTTTTAGAAGCTCCTTGGACCCGTTGGACCCTCGCCTTGTTGGGATGGCAATGTACACCGGGTTGCCCTTTTATGAGTTTTAGAAGCTAAAATCCACAATGGGTGACCTATACACACACTATGTACTTGAGTATCATATCAACCAATGTATTATGGTGTATCATTTGTGTTATAATTGTTTAAGACTATGTTGTACAATGTAAAAGTACCAAAGTTTTGGTTCTTACTAGTAATTAATCTTAAAAGTTTTTAAACCTTGCACTGAAGGGATAGACCTATTTTTATTTTGTATGATAATATACCCAATCTTCTTTGGTGTGTGTGATGTCTTAATTCTTAACAAGGTTTTCTTTAAATAAGGGGATCTGTAATTGGACTGACACGTAGGCAAATCACGTTATCTTTGCTTTAACAGGAGTTGGGCATACCTCAGAGACATCACACTATAAGAATTTGAAATGAGTATGTCTAAAATTCTAGTTGTCGTTTAGGTGTAATCACGATGCCTTAGTCATTATCTTTTGTTCATCTTAAATTTCCTGCATTTTCTTACTCATTCTCATTTTATCACTCTCTTAATCAAACTTAGAAAAAACAGTTTCTTTGTGATCAACCTGGTATTTTATCAGCAATTTATTACTATATCAGCACTTCTACACTTGCAGATTTAGCCCGATCACGTTCTTTCTGCTACCAACTTGTGTGTTTGGATGTGTTTGTTTTGTTTATGAAACATCTTGGGTATACATGGCTTCAAAAGGGATATTGCTGTTTCAAGAACAGCATAATGCATAGGAGTATTTGATTCTATTTCACTGCTGCTGCTGCAGGCATTAGGTATTAATCTGTCATGGAGGCTGCACAAAGCATCAGATGGTCAAAGGAGGAGGGTACAAATTTGTATGGGTCTTCTGAGACCATTTACGGTAGATCTACCCTAAATGCATACAGTTATTTTTAAATTTGTTTAATTAGAGGCACTTTCTTGAACTCAACTACTGACAAAATATCAAATCTTTTAGGTGCTCCTCCTTGATGAGATCACTGTTGACCTCGATGTACTTGCAAGGGCTGACCTTTTGAAATTTCTGAAGAAAGAATGTGAAGAACGAGGCGCTACAATTATTTACGCCACACATATCTTTGATGGTCTGGAGGACTGGCCTTCTCATATTGTAAGAAGAGACATGTATTGGCATAGTTCCTACTTCCTATGTATTTGTCTATTTGGATCTTGTTGTGGAAACAAACCTAGCTTATCATTCACTTTATTTTAGGTTTATGTAGCTAATGGAAAATTGCAACTAGCTACCCCAATGAGCAAGGTTAAGGAGATGAGCAACATTTCACTAATGGTATGTCTAGCTTCTTAGAACTCATGTTTGTTATCCTCTGGCATTTATGGTAGGTATGGGGTAAAATTTAAACTCTATCAGCAACTCAGTATAAAGGACCTCCTTGAACTGCCAAAGTGTCTCTTATGACCATTTTGCTACATGTATGGCAAGAGGAATTGTACAAAACATATAATACTAGTATATTTAAGCTAGGAATCCATAACTTTTAGCGACTCATAAATTTTTCACAACTAAACTCATATTCGTATAGGTAATTTCATTATGTAATCCTTTAGTTTTTTGCATTTCTCAAATGCCATCTATTGTGCATGCTTTGTAAATTAATCTTGAGGTATGCTAAAATGTCCTTCGAAATTTCTTAAGCTAATCCTAGTAATTTTCATAAGTAATTCTGTACGATTTTTCATGGTAATATTTTTTTTAGCAAATACCAAAAACCAAAGGGCACAAATATTCACCTCTGGCCAGTTCGGAGGAACACCCTGTCCGGCCACCTCAATTTGAGGTGGTTCCGGGGTATTTTTGGCTGAAATTTTTTATGTATGTTCCTCATCAAATCTAGTACATCCATACCAAATTTCAGAAAAAATTCAATCGGGAAGGTCGTCAAATGATTTTTGCATGAAAACTGCGTTTTATGTGTATATTCCGGACATCATTTGATGACCTTCCTGATTGAATTTTTTGCTCAAATTTGGTATGGATGAACTAGACTTGATGAGGAACATACACAAAAAAATTCAGCCAAAAATACCCCGTAACCACCTCAAATGGAGGTGGCCGGAGGAGCCTCTTGTCTGGCCTGGCCGGACAGGAATGTTACTCAACCAAAGGGTATACATGTTTTGTCTAGCCATACCTATGAATATCTTTCTATACTATTCATTTGGATTTCAATTAATGGTATTGTAACGAATTGGATGTGCAGAGAACAGTAGAAAGTTGGTTGAGGAAAGAAAGGGATGAGCAAAGGAAATGGAGGAAAGAGAGGAAGGAAAAAGGGCTTGCGCCGTTTGATAAACAGATTGATGGAACTCGTGTGGTAGGAGATCCGGCTCGCTCATTAAACAATGGTTGGGCTGGTGGAAGGCTACATTCTACCCTTGCTGGTGAAGAAAATTTTGTGTATAGCTCAAACAGGGTTTTGAGACAGTAAAGGGATTGGTATCTAATTGAGTTTTTGCCACTTTTAGATCTCTAGTTATTGAGTCAGTGACGTTTTTTATACTTGACTTTGAAAGTTTCCACTTTTAAGTCCTTTCGATATAGTGATAGAGAGAGAGTTAGAGACGCTTTTGTGTTTCAACTATGAATTTTTCACTATTGAGAAAGTGCACTTTTGGTCATTCAACTATTACTATTGCTGATTTACTGTAGTGAATTTTTAGTCCTCCATTTATTGAGGTGAAGTCATAGTGGACGGATTAAAAGTATCACTTTTGTAAAAGTTGATGAACTAAATATGGATAATTTTAAAGTCGGGTACCAAAAGTTTATATATCACTTGGTAATTCAGTAGCGTACTAAAAGTAACATATAATAGTGAGAGATAATTGGAGGATGAAAAGTGGCAAAAACTCATTTATAACAATTATGTTATGTTTTTCATAATCAATATTATTCTACATTGTTCTATTAATATCTATTGAATATTAAGATTTCCAACAAAGAGTGGAGAATAAAAGTGGTAAGAATAATTTCATCTGGTTTCAATTTGGAAATGTAATTACTAGACTCTGGTTCATTAAATGATGTAGCGAAAGACTAGGGGTGTTGTGTGACTTGTGAAAAACGCAGTAAATGCTCAGATTATTTGATTAAATAAACATTTGTACAACACCGATTTTAAGTTCACCTCAAATCTGAAGTAAACTACTTGAGTAATCATAGGAGTGGACTCGGGCTGGGCCAACAGGCCCGGAACCGGACCGGCCCGCTACTGTGCGGACCTGGACCGGCCCGGTGAACCGGTTGGTGCTCGGTTCAGGCCATCCGGCCCGGTGAGGTAGGTGGGCCAGGCCCGGGCCTCCTAAATCGTGAACCAGCCTGGCCGGTTCGGGCCCGGTTCGGGCCAATTTATTTTTTTCCCTTTTTTTTTGATATTTTTTTAAGTTTTTGGGTTGGGCTGGGTATGATGGGCCATTTGAGGTGGTTTGGGGTGGTTTGGGGGTGGGGGAGGGTTGGGGGTTAATTAGGAAAAGCCAAAAAAAAAATTACATGAACCGAGGCCCGGCCCGGTCCGGACCCGGGGGTTACCCGGGCCAGTTCCGGGCCTCCCCTTTCATGAACCGAGGCCCGGCCCGGCCCAGGCCTGAACCGGGCCCAATCCGGAACCGGTCCAACCCTAGTCAGACCTGACTTGAAGTCTTGAAATATAAAATGAGCATTAGCCAAATGCTAAAATAGGAATGTTTGACATAATAAGAAACAGCCAAGGCCAGCAAAGTCCAAAGATCCAGATATAATATACTCAGTAGATTATAGGTTATGCAACCGCTGAGCTTTGGGATCAAAATCTAGCAGCCAAGGGCGTTTTGGAGCATTAGTCAAGGGGCTTTCGGATATGATACCAAGTTTTCGGAAGTTCTCACCAAGCGTTGACAGGGGCGGAGCCAAGGGATGGCCAACCCTGACTCTGGTCCAACCTAAATTTAAAAAATGTTCATATTTTTAGCGTAAAAAATTGTGTAAATTTTTTCCCCAAATATATTCTTTGTACCGGCCCAGTGCTCTGGCTCCGCCCCTGAGCGTTGAGATTCTTATACAGTTTGATGCCATTTGATTAGTGGCACTATGAGGGACATAACGATGTGATTTATATTCTCTAACCACAGAAAGAATAAACTAGAATACTCTTCTAAAGAATGAATATTTCCAAAAAGTTCTGTTTTCTAAATTTGGAAAACTTTCCAATTGCTACAATGGGATATTGGGATACAAATATACAATGGTGCAAGTTCACAGATATAGTAAGCTTCTATATTTTCTTAGCGATTATAGCCATATTCCTTGGGGAAAGTACTGGGTCAAAAAGAGGAAACAGGCCAACTTGCATGCATTTACCACTCTCCTGGAGGAACAATAACCGATCAAGCAAAATAATAGTTTCCAAAACAGGCCCTAGAGCAGCACGAAGAGACCAATAAGGCCCTATCATCCCCTGCATTAAGAATCGGCTCATTATGTTCATGGGTTAGAACAGTGCTATACATATAATAAAGGTGCCATATGCAGGCGTCCCGACGGCTTTTCACCGAAGAGACCAAAAAATAGTCCCATACAGTATATTTATAATTGATAAATAGATCCCTGATGAAAAAAACATAATGCTAGGCCCCAGGCGACTGCCTCATCTACCTCATTAGAAACCCACTAGTGATCTGATAAACCTGATATTGAATAGAGATAAAAGTACTTACAGCGAAAGGTTGCGTCTCCTTCCATATGTCAAGATAATCTATTTCCTGTGACTGGAGGCTAAGGCGGGCAAGCCCAGATTCACAGAATTTTATGAATAATGAAAAACTATCCATTGAATTAGCAGTTCCTGTTCTGGAACTCAGAGCGGAAGACGTTTTATTAAAGAAGGCACCATCATCATCACAGGCTAAACCTTCAACACCTAAAGGATAATATTGTATAAATATGAGAATGGTTGTCATATTTCACTAAATATAATTTTCATGTTAGTGGGACTTTTCAGCTTGTCAGCACCACAAAAAGTAAGTAGTGTGACTATTCTAACACATCAAGTTAATACCCAACTTCTCATTTGTAAATGCAATCCTTTAGATTAGTAGCAGTTCTTACAATATATGTGGGGTGGTCTGATCAAGCACAAAAATATAGAGAGATGCTCATATAGAGAGACATGCTCCAAGACCTGGGCCATCGGGCACCTTAGCGTACTCACCAAGCATACCCAACACTTCATTCAAAATACCAAAAATATCACTTATCAAGCACTCACCCCCTTTGTGTACCCTACGATGACCCTTCATTCATCCACATTACAATTTAAAATAACTTGATACCCATCCCTCAAGGGTACTTTTGCAATTTTATAGGGGTGGTAAGTTTTGTAAGGTACCCAATGGGTGGGTTTTGGAACATTTCTCTATATATGCCTGTTGTGTGTGTTTACAATAACATTGCTAGTGAATCAGTTTACCCTTCTTGACATCACATCTACAGCCAAGGACAGACATGGAACACTTATTCTCATCATAACTTATGTTCTCTGAGGAGGATCCACTATATTGTTTGGGACATTGACACTGGAAATTAGACTCCAGGGTTCTGTTACAATGTTTGCGGCGTAGTGTTTTTCCATGACGCCCTATTGCAGGACTTTTTGTCAATACATCTGAATAATATCGCAATAGAATCTGCAAATTAGTCAACCCAGTTTTAGATAACGGCTCCTGAAAACCCTTGTAAAGGAAGAAAGCAAGAACCATGGCACTTCAAATTTGACACGACTGAAACCCAAAGACAAGCCAGCATAACTGCAAGTACCATCTGAAAGGCAGCACGAAATGCATGCAATTCAAAGTTGTCTAGTCCAGCAGCTTGACCTAAGCCTCTCCATCTATCTGCACTCTGATAATTCAAGATAAGACAATATCACGATAAACATTGACGCAAGGTTAGTCCAACATTTTTGTATCACAGTTCTGGATTCATGTGTGTGTGTATCACCACCACCACCATCATCATCATCATTACCCCAATGCCACAAAGGCTCCCACCTACAGTGGATAAGGGGGGTCAGATGTACGCAGTCTTACCCCTATACTAAAGCACAGAGAGACTGTTTCCGGATGACCCATGGTATGTGTGTGTGTGTATTGTGAAAATAAAAAATAAAAAAATATGCATATACCTGGCAAGCAAGATCGCGGGCACTTTTTCCAAGACATAAGCCAACAGTTCTAGCACTTTTACTCACGGGAAAACCAGAGGAAGGACCATCCATGATAGAAGCTTCTTCAGTGAGCATGTTATAACAGCATCCAACACTGATCACTGCTTTTATTTCATCGCAATCCAAGAATGTCCTACTCAAATCAAAATTTAGTCAAAATGCAAACACAAGTTACATGTAGTCTTTCTATGTCAAAATAAAGTTGGCCACAATAACCCTTGAACAATTCCAGAAGATTAAGCTCATATCACAGACAGAAAGCTGACCGGAGAAAAAAGCGTGTTTAGTATTTAGTAAGAATGCAAAGTAGTAGTTGTCCACTTATTCATTCAGTCTTTCATGACCTTTGTGGTATCCTTGATATATGTGTCTTCATTTAATTATCATGGATATTTAGATTATTTTGAGACATTAAACATGGCAGTAACATGCATCCAATCACCTCAACATAGTCACAGAAAGATCTCCACAGGCATGAAGTCCAGCTAGAATCAATGATGAATCCCCAATCATGTAAGAATGAGGACTTAAATGTTCCTCAACTGGACTGTGTCCAATAGAACTTTCTCTTAAAAGGCATTGTTTTACAACACCATATTCATGCAGTGAGCCATTACTCAAGGCCTTCAATGTCTCAGAGGACAATATTTGACAGGTCACTGTCTTTGGCACACACCACTTTCTGCCATCTAATCTGAAAAAAATATGAAGAAAGTAACAACAAATGCTCAGGATTACAATACCAGCAACTATATGCAAACTGAACTCATTATAAAAAGTAAAAATTATAGAGTTAGAATATATCTAAATCATTTCATACGACATATTTTTTTAACGTTAATGACTTAAGATAAACTTCCAAGATTTAAGTCATATACCCAGATTTGCGCATCTTTGAGGCATAGTGCTTCCTTATTCTCTCAGCACGTGCTCTAGTAATCTTTCCATGATGCGGAGAGGCATCAATCGCCACAACAGAAAGGTCATGTTCAAATGAAAGCACTTGTGCAAGATAACCCTAAAAGAACAGAGGAGCAAATGAGACCCTAAAAACGTAAGTGGGAGAGGCCCAAGTCAATGTTTTTTCTGTCTATCTTAATAATACAACAATACAAGTATATAACTTATTTAAGTATGTTGAGATGTGTAATAAATTCACAATTTAATTAATATTATTGTCCTAATTCGTACTGCTAACACCAGGAGCATCTATACCAAGTACAGTAAAAGAGAAGGCTAAATTGGGTAAAAATATGGGGATAGAAATATTGCCATTAGCAACCAATCAGAGTAGGAGAACCACCTGACCAGAGCCAACATCAACTATTGTTTTTGTTTCAACATCTTTGGCAATCACACCCACCACTGCAGCAAGTACTTCCACCTGCTTATGCAAAGATACCTATTGAGAAACATATTACTGAAGGGAGAAGAGATTATTATTATTAAGATCTGAGAGTATGTACACACCTTTTATACAGTCATTAGACTAACTAATCTGAACTAATCTATAACATTAATGCTGACTAGGATAGTTGGTTACAACTGATATAAGCTGTGCTACAGGAGAACTGAACATTATTACAATGAGACCCTGGAGAAGAATAGAGTTGCTCAAATGTTGTATTAGGCTTCCAAGACATGTTTCTGTGATGAAGGTCTGGAAAGGATTGGAATCTGTAAAGACCATAATCTCCAAGAACACCACATAAGAGGACTTGTTTAGAATCTTGAGATTTGACAAAACAGTGAGATGGATAGAATTCAAAGAAAACATTATTATCATTAACAAATTTACTAACACTAACAAGATTCTCTGTTATTGTAGGAACATGGAGCATATTGGTTAGAGAAAGAGATAAAGAGGGCTGAAAAGGTGATAAAAATGAAGAAGAACCAACAGGTTTTATTGTCAAACCTTGGCCATTGCCCATAAAGAGCTTATCAGTCGAAAGAGATGGCTCGATGTGCTGAAGATTTAGAGGATCAGCTGTAACGTGATGAGTGGTTCCAGAATCTGGAAACCAAGTCTGATTGAGTGGAGAAGGACCAACGATTGAAGAATTTGCATAGCCCCAAGTAGCTGAAGATGGAGGTATATGTGATTGTGGGAAAATTGGTTGCTGAGCCCAGCGAAATCCTTCTGTAGGTTAAGATGAATGTGGTGGAGCAGGAATCTGAAACTTAGGTTGTTGAAATTGATTGTTGTAGGCATAGTTGCAATGATAACCTGGTGGTCTATTCCAGTGTCATTGAGAACTGGAAGACTGAGATGTATAAGCAGGTTTGAATCTGTGATAGCAAGTTAGGGCGTCATGTCCTGTTTTGCCACAAGCTTGACAGATTAGTGAAGAACAACCACCAGAGCGACATCCTCTCTTAAGTGTCCGCGATTTCAACTTCCATGACCTCAACCACAAGATTGAGTGCCCCACGAATATTAGTATTAAACTGTGCGTATTGAGCAGAAGAATTTGCTTGAGATTCCATTGAATCTGAAATCTGAATCACTACTTAGCTGGGATTCTTCAACCCTAGCAATGTTTGCAGAGAATATTGTGGATTGAGACCGTACACAAAGATAGTAGCAGGGTCTAGAGGGCTGCAAGAAGATATAGAAGACACCAGAGACTTATATTCTTCTGGAAGTCCTTCGAGAATCACATTTACGTAATCCTTTGCAGAGATCAGTTCACCAACAGCAAGTAGTGTGTCTGCAATTGTTTGAATATGAAGTAAATACTCAGAAATGGATCGTTCACCTTTAACAGTAGAATAGAGCTCCGATTTAAGTTGGCCTTTGCAACTATGTTCACTTGAAAGAACTGGTGGGTTTCATTCCACAGCTGATAGGAATGAACACAGTTTATGACTCTTGCGTGAAGAGATTCAGGGAGCGATGAGAGAAGCCAAAAAACAGCATCTGATCTTGTTGCTCCCATTCGATGTATTCTTCATTAACAATTTCATGAGATCCATTATCACAATACGCAAGTGATAAATCGGGGAATAAATTTCTGGATTAACAACATAGCGAAGAAGCTTATGAGCTCGAATGACAGATTCCACTTGTTTCCAGAAGGGAAAGTTGTTTGAATCAAGTTTGTGATGAATCGGGTGAGTAAAGGTTAATGGAAACGATGAAGTTCCAGTTGATGAATTTCCAGTAGATGAAGAAACTGGTGCCATGGGATCTTACTGAGAAGCTCGTGATACCATATTGAGAAACGTATTACTGAAAGAGAAGATATTGTTATTATTAAGATCTGAAAGTATGTACACACCTTTTATACAGTCATTAGACTAACTAATCTGAACTAACTATAACAATAATGCTGACTAGGATAGTTGGTTACAACTGATATAAGCTGTGTTACAGATTAGTTAATCGTGTGTACATATTTTCCTAACAATACCTGATTACCCCTTACAATAGTAGAATTTTGAGAAGAAAAACGATTTAAGAAATACGGAGTATGTATCTTGTATGAATAAAGCACATAGCTCCAATTATATTTTGGTGGTGATTTTTATGATGTTTAAGCTTTCAGAAGAACTCATGCCTTATACAACTTGAAAAGACTTGTCTGAATGTCATGGTCCGATCTGGGGCATGCTATTACAAAACTCAGCACACAAGCAAAATATATTCATGTAAGAAAAGAACACTATGTTACTTTACATATTACAATGCAAATCTGCATAGAAAGTAGAATGCAAACAGATAGTTGTGCCAAATTCTGACATCAGTTGCTAAATAGCATGTTAGTATACAAAAATGGTCAAACAATTCCAATGTCATCCAGACATGCATATCTTTAGCAAAAAATAAGTAAATAACAGAAGTTAAAATATAAATAATAAGGGGAAATTTCCCATGTCCTACTTCGTGTTTTTTCTTAAGGTTCATGCCTTGAGCAAGAACAGTACTCAGCGAGGCCATGTGCAATAGTGGGAATTCCTGCAAGTAAACATAAAGATCAGTGTAACTCACTGAGAGCATAATGAGATGTTATGGTTAAGGAAAAGTAACATGGTAGAAGTTTATTATATTGTACTCAGATAATAATGTGGATCGTACTTCTACAGGCCCCAAATCGCATTAAGGTTGAAAAAGGAAAATGCATAGTACCATACCTCCTGCAAATTTGCCTGTTTTCTGGGAAGAGAAAGGGACCTCAGAGTGATGACAAATTCTTTGAGTGAAGCAGGCCAGTGATCCTGAGAAATAGCAAAGGAAAGTCAGAAAGAAGATTATAAAATCTGAACCCTGTCTCATAGAGTATATATAAACTAAAGAGATGAAAGATACAATCACATATAACATCACCCAAGGTTATTCCCACAGGAAAATATGGAGCAACAAAATTTACATCACATAGTTTCCACCAATACAGGCAACATTGATCACAGAACGCATTCTATAATCGCATACTTTACCTTTCAAAATATCATGCCCATATGTAATTTAGGCCTAGAAAATTTACTATCACCAATAAAAATAAAAAAAATGCACTATCCACTAACCATAGCAGGATATATCTAAAACTTGAACGTAATAAACTTACAACAGCAACAACATTCAAGCCTTAATCCCAAAAGATAAAAACAATTATCTTAAAAACAAGTTTCTAATGCCATGCGATATTATGTTACAGGTGTTCGCTCCTATCATACGACAGGTGCGTTTTTAGACTGTTATTTGGGAAACATAATGCATGTACTACTGATAAGATTAAATTTATTCTTTTTACGGTGCCTTAACAAACAGCTAACTCTTCATTTCATTAAGAACTCCAATTGTGGGAACACCAGAAACTTATTACTCCCTGCGGTCCCATAAAATAAGTCTCACTTTCCTTTTTGGGCCGTCCCAAAAAATTGTTCTAGTTTCCCTTTTTGGAAAGTTTTGTGGGGCTAATATTCATTTATCTTTTTCTTACTCAACCACAAACATACATTTTCACTTTATTCCCACTTTCTTAAACTCCGATACAAATTGAAATGGGACTTATTTTATGGGAGGGAGGTAGTACAATATTACTTGATGAGTGATGATACATTGATACCCATGGCACTAACTAAAAAGAAAATTTCTTAGGTGATACGAATTTAGAATCACGTCAAGTAAAAATGAAAGCGACTAACAAATTCTACTCAATATTGAGGGTAAATCTTTACCTGTACCACACCACAAGGAATTTGGATAAGATTTTCCACAAGTTCATCTTGTAAACAATCCATCCACTCTTTATTGACAGCTTCCCATAGTCTGTCCTGTGAATTTTAAAAGCAGTCGCACTAAATTCCGTATACATATTTGTGTTACTGAGTAAGTATTTGTGCCAGAAGGAAACCTTGAAGAAATTGCTGACATGCGCATCAAAGAAGAACCGATAAGGCTTTATGAAATCCATTATCGCTCGAATCCATTGAAAAGTTTCACTCGGAGTTTTGCAGGAGTACTTGCAGTCGCTAGCCATGTCCGTCATTACGGCGTTTCCGGTTCTAAATTATAGGACTGCAGGGCTGCAATGCAAAATTTCCTGATAGATGCAACCATGGTCAAAATCATAAATCAGTCATATACTTTCACTTTTATTAAAAAAAAATCAAACTTTAATGATTTTCATAATTACACTTTCCATTGATGAATTAGTAAAACTTAAGAGGAAAATTATATTTATATTTCATATTTTTTCATTTCTTTCTAGTTTTAAGTTTGCAAATTTGTAATGCTTATATCTTATTGATATGGATAAAAATGTGTAATATTGAAAAAACAAAAGAGAAAGCCAAAGAATATGATAAATTTGCGAATTGTTGAAAAGAATGATGTTTGAGTTTATTTTTTTAAAAGCCAAAGAATATGATAAATTTGTGAATTTGATGATAGTGTGAGATAAAATAAGCTAATAATTCTTATTTTTAATAATAATAATAAAAATAATATAATACGGAGTAACAATTATTAATATAAATAATTACATATATATGACTAAAATAAAGAGTGTTTACAAAAATGTGATTAGTGACTAGAATAGTAATAAAATCATATTAATTTATGTTCAATTTTTAGACTTAATTTATCATGACACTACATCGTAGTAACTTTTAGTCATATTTGTGTAAATAAGTTTTATTTTAGTAATATTTTCGAAAAAACCCTTATTAATATTATTATTTTTATATTTAAAATATTTATAACATTCTTCCTTTAGATTTGTGTAAAAATTTACAATGATTGTAAATTCTTTTTAAATACTTGGAAAATTTCTCATAGCATGAATTACAAAATTTTAAAAGTATTTAACAATTATTTATAATTTTAAATATGATGAAGTTAGAAAAAATGACTCCTATATTACTAATAGAGTTTTCATTTCAAAATGTATGACAAGTTTTATCTTTTTCAAAAAAATGACTCTTTTAAAATTGGGTCCACTATACGACCCTCATCTCCCTTGCATCACAGATCACCTCAACCTAAGCCGCGCGCCACCGCCTTGCCATCCCGCATTGCTTTCCCTTTTCTTCTCTTTTATGTCTCTCCGGCAACCGTATATCTCAATGGATTGGGAAGCAACAACGACGACAACAAATTCAAAAGCAACGAAGGCGGTGACAACCTGTGGCACAGGCGATTCCGACCGGAAAGACCATGAATAGCGAAAGTTGTGTATGACGATGAATCCATATCCATGGTGACGGCGGCTATGGTTGGTTTGGTGCTAGTGGTATGTTTGGTGTGGCCGCGTGAGGGCGGGAGGGGTCGCAGTGGGCATCAGTTGGTGGGTGGTGGGGATGGTGGGCTGGGGGCTGGTTATGGTTGGTTTGGTAATGATAAGATTGGGGTGGGAGGTGGAGCATGCCGGAGACAAGGGTCAACGATGAGGTTGTGATGGTCGGAGGTGGTGGGGCGGTGAAGGGGTGGCTTGTGGCTAGATCCGGGTGGTGAAGGGCTGGGGAGGGTCTAGAGAAGTGGTTGGGACCTAGGAGCTGGGACATTGGTCCAGTGGTGGCCGGAGGTCTTCGTTAGTGTCGGCGGTGGAGGGTTGCGGGTCATCGCATGTGGTGGTTGGGGGCAGGTCAGGGGGCAGGGCTAGAGGTATGGTTGGACTCGGGCCGGGTGGCCCGACCCGGAACCGGCCCGGGACCGGTACTGTTCCGGCCCGGCCCGAACCGATGGCCCGGTCAGTGACCGGTCCGGGTAGGCCCGACCCGGTGGGTTTCCGGTCCGGGCTCGGGTCACCCATAATAAGGCCCGGCCTTGCCGGGCCCGGGCCCGATTCGGGCCAAATTTATTTATTTTTTTGGTTTTTTTCCATTTGTTTGGGCTCCACCGGGTTGGGCTTGATGTTTAGGAGGGGTTTGGGGGGTTTGGGGGTGGGGGTGAGGGGGGGGGTCAGGGATGGGTAGCTAAGCAAAAAAAAAAATAACCAAATCCGAGGTCCGGCCCAGCCCGGCCCGGACCCGGATCGGACCCGATGGCTACCCGGGCCGGTCCCGGGTCCAGCTATATAGAACCGCCGGCCCGGCCCGACCCGGCCCGAGTCCAACCATAGCTAGAGGGTGTTTGGGGGCTAGGGAGGGGTTGGTGACGGCAGTGGGCCACATGGCGGTGGCCGGAGAGTGGCGGCGGTGGCCGGAGTTGGGCGGGCAGTTACTTTAGCCGAGGTCACTGTGACCAGTGGGCGAGCACTCACTTTGGCCGGGGACGGCGGCAGTCACTGGAGGAGCGGTGTCACTATGGCGACACAGTCCTTGTGATGGTCGAGTCACTGACGGGCGAAGCCACTGTGGTGACGACAATCACTGGCGGGTGAAGACACTGTTGCGGCATAGTTACTGGCGGGGCGGAGTCATTGACGATCCGACCCCGGTCCTGGTACAAACTCAGGCCAGTATCGAGCCTGCAACCCAAAAACCCAGGCCCGCCCAATCCTGGTCCGGTCCGGCCCGGGCCCGGTCCATCCCTAGGCCCGTACGTCAACTCTAAAAAAACTCGTGTACTAAAAGGTCATTATACCTCAAATTACTTGAGCATTGAAGAATCAAAATATTTTTAACTTATGGCATATCATACGGTAGAACCGTAGGACCCCAGCCCCCAACTCCCAACCAAAAACTATAAGCAAATCAAAAGGTAAGACCGCAAATATTACCAAATAACTGCCCATTAGATGAACATGTTACTACATCCATTTTTATACTACCTTACCCACTTTCCTTATAAAATAGAAGTTGTGATTCACGTAATTTCTCCCTTTTCTGGTTTAACTTGAAGTCTTCAACCTTCACTTAACTTTTTTAGTCGTTATGCCAAGTCAAATTGTTCGTTAATTTAGGGGTAGAGGGAATAATTTTTAATTTTTACCAACAGCCGAATCATCAATTATAAAAGACGTTATGAACAAGTAATTGACCATGACATCTACAAGGCTACGATCAGTTCCTATACCGTGAGATATCTCATGATGAGCACCATGCTCTAGAGTCTAGACCCAAAACGATGTAGTTTTCATCAACTTTATAAAAAAAATCGTGTGAACAATACATGCGTGAACAATACACGCGTGTACACTAACTGTTTTTTTTTTCTTTTTGTCCCAGTAGCATGAATAATGTAACTCGCGTGTAAGGAAATGTAACTCACATTAATAAGAAATGATATTGCAGACAAGTCGAAATGTAACTTTTCAAATACAATGATTTCAATGTAAACAACAACAAAAAAGTGTAATTTCTTATTTATTTTATTGAAATAGTGAATTTGTTTTGTTTTTAATATTAAGACCACAAAATGTTTTAACGAAATTATTTTTTCCTAAAAAAAATCATTTTTTTTGCAAAAGAAAATCAATTTAAAAAAAGTTTTTTTATTCAATAAAAGGGTTTTATTTTGTGATTATGAAATACAATATACTTATTTATGTGGTTTAATAAAATTTCGTATTAAATTGAAAAAAAAAATCAGTTGTAATTTAATTAGTTAAAGATAAATATAAGTAAAATATCACAAATAATTAGATGTAACTCACGCATAATTAAATGTAACTCGCGCATAAAAGTATGTAACTCGCGCATAAGAAAATGTAACTTACGCATAACAAGATGCAATTCACGCATAATAACATGTAACTCGAACATAAGAATTACTTCGTATATTATCGTATATTCATATGTAACTCCAAGCTAGAATCAAAATAAACAAACTCAATGTCTTAAAAAACCTCTAAAACATATAAAAGTGATAAAAAAAATTAATTATAGAAAAGTGTAAGCATATAAAAGTATATTACAAAAAAATGTATGAATGTAAAAAAGATATTACAAAAAATAGTGTATGAATATGAAATGCAATGTACTTATTTTATTTAGATTATTAAACTTTTTGTTATGTATTGATAAAGAATAAAAAAATAGATTCAATTACAATTTAAATTGAAGATAAGGTAAATTAAAACTGCAATTAAATTTTTAATATTTTAATTTGATGGAAATAGAGAAGAATTGAAGAAAAGAAAAATAAAGAAAGAATAGCAAAAGAAGAAGGAAGGAAGAAGCTTCAGCCTATTAAAATTAACCTTTTTGTCTCATGGGCACACTATGCAAAAGTGGGATCGGCACACTATGCCAAAGGTGGACCGATACCACGGTATGATTTGCGGGCTACAATGGATACATTTTCTTTCCTATTAAAATTAACCTTTTTGTCTCATGGGCAGTTAATTTGCAGTACTTAAAAGGAAAAAATACAAATTAATGTACCAAATTAAATTGTAGAAATTTGAGTCGAGCATCATAAATCAAAACATAGAAAATGGGATGAACTGAATGTTGATACATTTCTGAATCGGGCTAGACTTATTTAAGTATGTTCAGAACAGTTACATGATTGAAGATTTAGCTGAGATGCTGCAGCAAGCATGAGGTAAAACAGATGATGGATAATTTACAGTGAGAGATTTATTGTGAGAGAGCACTGGTGTTGTACACAAGGAGAGCACCTCCTGCCAGGATGCCAACAAGGGTAACAGCCCAGATTGCTAAGCCAGTTTTACCTGCATATTAGTGTTTCACTTTCAAAAGTTTGTATTATGTTTATCTTTCTTTACAACTTGAGAGAAACACTATGTAACCCTGGGTGATGAAGTTTGTGGTTTTGGTTATGGATCATAACTATGCATAATTTATTACACTAACAAGTCTTCCAAACCAACAATTGGTGTTTTATATGAAAAACAAAAAACAAATTAAAACAGTTAACCATAGATCTAAGGGGGCATTGATTCAAGAAATGTCAGATTACTTGGAAAATGTTAAATTGCTGGGAATGTCAAGGAATGTGTCCAAACTATGCATATTTTGTGTTTTGTTGGACAGCGGGACTGTCTGTTTCCTTAAATGATCTCTTTTACTCTGCATAACACAACTAGTATTTTACATTGATAACCTTCACGTTTTTTCATCTAGAATATACCCAAATCATTTTCTTATATGCTTCTGCCTTCGGGCATATTTATTAATCAAATGAAATTGTGCAGCTGAAATTGATTAG